CTCCAACTGGAATTCTGGAGCCAAACATGAAGCGGGATATGATGCTTTTATGACAGGCTGCGTCTTTGCTGAGACATGCAGTCATCTCGGAATTGATTTTCAGGCCTGTTTGTCGTCTGAAAAGTTGGCCCACAATGAGAAGCTCCAGAAGCAGATCAACCTTCTATACCTCAGTTGGAGTAATGGAGACATTATTGATTTAACCACTGGTAAGAAGAATGCAATGTCTTCGGGGTCCAATAACCACAAAAAGAGGTACTCGCAGATTATGTCTGAGAACATTGCAGTTCATCCCCTCGCGGGACTTTTGGAAGGTGGAAGCACCCGAGCTGCTAATTATGAAACTTACTAGGAAATCTGCAGTTCACCCAGCGCAATAGTCTTTTTTACAGATCAGGCCGAGGCAGTTGGTATTAAGGGGAAAACTAAATTGGTTGAATCCAAGGAAGCATCAGAGACCCTAAAACGGGAGAGCTTCGATGAAAAAAGTGAAGTGAATCCAGCTTCAAAGACCGAAAAATTGAGAAGAAGTACCACAGACACTGCAAAAAATGATCCGTTCTGTGGGCGTCGCTCACAATACAAGATCATAGATACTTTAATTGCTTCTGAAGGCGATCGAATGAGAACTAATTAGTGCCCGTATTTGGGTTTTGCTGACTTAGTGATTCAAACTAATTCATACAGGTTCTTCTTACTGAGACATTGGCTAGATTCTCTACATTAAGATTTTATTACTGTTAAGAACCTAAGGTTAGGAAGAACATGAAATTATCAGAAAAGCCATTTTTTCTTCTTCTGTATTGGCACATGAACTGCACTTAAGATTCATACAGCTGACACTAATTAGTGAGATAGGCTTTAATGTTGTTAGGAACGTAAGGCTAGTATGAACTTGGAGCTATTATAATGTTAGGACTTGGTTGGATAAGATTATATTATACTGTTACGAATGTAATGAAACTAACAAAAGATTTGGTGCAAAACCGAATGCATTAGCATTCTGGAATTTATACAGGCAATTCCACTCGGTGAGACAAGATTTTGTTGTTTGAAACTTTGAATTTGAACAAGACCTGTGCCAGTTTTAGCTACAAGAATATGAACTATTGAGAATTGACCAATCAGAGGTGCTCACATTCCTCAGAATATATTAATCTTTAGCCAGTAGACAACTTACCTCCCCTGCATGTCCTCCACGTGTCAGTATTCAACGGACAAGATATTCTCCACATGCACGAAAACAATGCCTAGGGTTTTGGGTTATCACAGGTGATGTCAGGTGAGAAAATCAAAATCAGACCCTTTCTTTCTTCGATCCACCGACCTGAAATAGCCGGTCAACATCCTCCCTACCATTTTTGGTTACACATTTATGAAGTTGCTCTTGTTAATAACGTTAAGTCGGACTAAGACATTAATAAAAGTTTCTCTCAAGAAAAGATATTTCAATGGACCTACAATAATTGACGGTACATTACATGTAATCATATAATTAGCGAAAATACATTTTTTTTATTTATGTTTTTCAAATGCCACTTCAATTGCATAATTACATGTATTGTATAATCCTGAGTTTTGAACAAACCGAAAAATCTCAACTAGAGAGATACCATAATAACATGGTAAGTTGGCAACCAAGTCATTTGACTCTTTGTTTTATAGTTGTCTTTTTCAAAAGTTCAACAACAAATAAAATTAATTCTACTGTTTAAAGTGTTAAGTTCATAATTCACAAATATGTTACATTTTTTAACTATTTTATATTTTTCACAAGTGACTCTCTATTGTAGTAGTGAAGATAAGTATTGTCCTTACATCACGGTGTGAGTTCAAATCCCATCAACTCCCTATGTAACAACTATTCTAATAAATTTATTGTTTGACAAAAAAAATTATATTTTTCGTACACACTGTTGTAGTGTGGAACAATATATAATAAAATAATAATTTAAAACACTCTTTAAAATGAAAGAACTTTTAATTTTGACAATTTGTATTTGACATATCCCCTTGAGATGTTCCAACGACTTGGAGTCCTTGACAGTGAAGGGTATTTAATCAGGTTTGAAGGAATTGTTATATCAGACTGATGTAAAAACAATGTGTTAAAACTACTATTCTACTGTCATTAGTATTCATCTTCATTCTTTACTTGTAAGTGAAAGGTCTTAAGTTCAATTTTCGTCAAAGACGAATTTGAACCACATTATTGCTAGCGTGAGGCTAAGCAGCCCACCCCATCCTCTTAATGTAAATAATATCGTTTGTTAAAATAAAATAAAAAACTACTATTCTACCATCCCTAGCCGGTCGTAGTGTGCACGTCACCGGTTATAGCCAGTGGCCAGGTCCCTATAAGATGAACGCTACGCATCAGCGACTGTTAAATTGAGGTAGAATTTATAGCTTATACGTATATCTCACTCTCAGACTTGGTCTTTGCTTCTAGCTATTTCTTTCTTTCTTTATTTTTCATTTCCTTTTAATTTTTCATGGAAGGGTAAGAGAAACCAGTAGTTTCTGCAGACTGCAGTGAAAGTTCATATTTGATCAGCAAGCTTTTAGTTCCAATATGGAAGCCAAAGTTGAAGAACCCTAGGGTAAAACTCTCTCTCTCTCTCTCTCTCTCTCTCTCTCTCTCTCTCTCTCTCTCTCTCTCTCTCTCTCTCTCTATTTTTAGCCTGTGATTTGATTAAAATGTCATGGTAAATTATATTCATTTCATCACAAATTACCCCTTCACCGTGATCATGGATGTTGATATTGATATCAGTATGTTTCATGGTCAGTACATCTTTATTGGTTTGGTGATTAAAATAATCCCAGATCATGGTCAACTTTTGGCTATTGAGGCAAGTTCTTATGTTTAATTATTTATCTGTTACAAGAAAGATATACCTATAGCAATTAATTAAGGGATATGTAAATGCATATATCTATATAATATGGTGAGTATGGTGTGTGTGTGTGTGTGTATATATATATGCATATATGTGTGAAGGGCATGTAGAGAAAATTACAGTACACAACTCTAATATTTAAGTGTTGGAGTGTTGAAGAGACAAAATAAATAAATAAATAAATTATTTTTATAGATTTTTTATCAGAATATGAATTTATTTTTATAATTGAAGGGTGTTAACCACATATTTATTTTTACTTTTATTCTAATTTTCAATCAGATCCAATCTATTGAAAAAAAATTAATGAACAAAAATTATAAAAAATTATCAAAGATATATGGAAGGTAAAAAATGTTGGAGAAACACAATTAATAAATAAATTACTTGTATTAATACTACAACACACAAACTAAAAGAGACTGACACTTGTAGAAGCTGCCGACCTAACATAAGAAACCGCCATAATCTTGCTAGAATTGTCTAGCATGGTTAACATATATGTATGCACCGGCCACTTCCATTGCTTGCTAGAATTCTCTAGCAAAATCTCTGCATGTTTGAACAAAATCTATAGTTTCTGCACCATGACCGAAATGCAGTCTATAGAAGGTACTGCCTTCCACGCTTGCTGCTATACTTTGCTTGAGTTTTCTGGGAGAATCCATGCACTGACTTTGGGCTGGCGTTGATCTTTCAACAGGGAAAACATGCTAATATGCGTTTGTACACATTTTATGAGATTTATATGATCCTGAATGCATTATCTCATTACATCTAAAGCCTATTAATTGATGGTTAACTTACACTGCAGGGATAAATGCATGAGTTGTGGCATCGAGGGTGGATGTGATGGGGATGAGAGGTTAGAGATTATGTTGACAGAAGAGAGAGAGCACAACCCGCCATCGGCTAAAGAGTCTTTTCCGTTGTTGGGAGTGTGCTCTCTCTTCTTCTGTCATCATCTCTTACATTCCCATCTGTAAGCACCGTCTGATCTGCGTCAATCTAACCTCAAAGTAATTGAGATATTCTCTCACCAAAAGGACATTGTTACACACAAATATATAGTTCAACATTGTACAATGTATACAGCTAATAAGGAAATCACTTAATTCGTGGATCTTGTGTGCGTGTGTGTGTATTACTATTTTGTATGCAAAACGGCTAAACTTTCTTATGCAGATGATTCATGTAGCAGCAGTAATCAGCTGAATTATTTTTTGGAGGAATAAATTTTACGAATTATTTTGCAGCCCTTGATCAAATTTATTTTGGAGGAAATTTTTTTACGAATTATCCGAATTCTGGATGTGCCACTAGTTGTGAAAATCAAATTTAACAACTAATACATAAATACTAAGTGTTACGTAACATTGAAATCACGCCCAAAACTACCAAGATTTGGTTTTGGAGATTTCAATCATGCAAGAGGAAAGTGGAGGCCATGTGTTCATGTCATATGGGTCAAACAGCCAAATGTAGCCGTTACAACAATTGGAAGGTACACAAACCACATTTCATTTATTTATTTATCAATTATCAAACCACATTAGTCTTTCTCTAATTTACCCCCAACGTTTTCTATTCTTTTAATTAAGACAAGGGAAAAATGTAGAGATCCAAATATACAGCATGATTTTTTTAAAATTTTACGTCTCTCCGTCAATACTTATTTGGGCTATTGGTTTCCTTAAAAATTCTCTTCGAAACATGTTTGGACAGCGAAGCTCTTGGTTTCATATCAAACATTCTATACTTCCAGCTCTGTTTGTGTAGAAACTGGGCTCTTCTCGTGATCCATGAACTGTGTCCAATCCGAAATCACTAAGGCCCACCTGGTAATTTAATTCATAACTAATATGATTTTTTATTAAAGAAAATAATTAATAAATTAATGTCGGATGGTAACGTTTTCCAACCTCCATCAATTTCTACTTTATGTTTGCCGTGTGTGGTCCACTGCGTTATTGACCAAGAAAAGGATCAAGTCGTCTCTGTCGTCATGAAGTAAACTTAACAGGCTTTGCCAAGAATAATTTTCAGTTTCAACTCCAAATACTTGATCAAAACTGGTCCTTTTGCCAAGAAGAGAAAATGGCTTTGGTTGGAGAGGCTTTGCTCTCCGGTTCAATCAAGGTGATGTGCGACAAGATTGCCTCCGGACAGTTCATGGACTTCTTCCGGGCAAGAAGACTCGACCATTCACTCGTGGACAAACTGAAGGTGAAGTTGATGACCCTCCATGCAGTGCTCAACGACGCAGAGGAGAAGCAGATTGTCAACCGTGCCGTCGGGATGTGGCTTGACGAGCTCAAACATGCTGTGTTCGATGCCGAGGACTTGGTGGATGAGATCGATACTGAAGCTTCGCGTCGCAAGGCGAAAGATCAGACCAAGAAAACCCAGGTGTGGAACTTCCTTTCTACCTCTCGTAAACCTTTTAATTATAAAGGCATGAATGGTAGGATCGAAGTTTTATTCAACAAGTTGGAAGACCTTGCAAATCAAAAAGACATCCTCGGTCTCAGGGGAGGTGTAGTGGGCAAGGTTTCACAAAGAACTCCCACAACTTCTGTTGTTGAGGACGGATTTTGTACCTACGGAAGGGATGGATGTAAAGAAAAGTTAAAAGCTCTACTGCTGCTATCTGACAATGAAAGTAGCAGTAATTTTTCTGTAGTCCCTATAGTCGGTATGGGCGGGGTTGGTAAGACAACTCTTGCTCAACTCCTTTACAACGATGAACAAGTTAAAGAGCATTTTGATAGTAATGCTTGGGTTTGTGTTTCCGAACAGTATGAGGGTTTGAGGGTTATTAAGACCCTTATTGAGGAAATCACTAAAAAGCCTTGTGATATTTTGGAGATGAATTACCTTGAAGTTCAACTAAGGCAACAATTGATGGGAAAGAGATTCTTACTTGTCCTGGATGACCTTTGGAATGAAAACTATGGTGACTGGGATCGGCTACGTACTCTTTTCACGTATGGGGCAAAGGGAAGTAAGGTCATTGTAACAACAAGGAGTAGACGTGTTGCATCCATCGTGCACAATACTATTCCTATTCACGACTTAGAAAAATTGTCGGATGAAGATTGTTGGCTGTTACTAGCAAAACATGCATTTAGAAATGAAAACCCCGGTGCACATCCAGACTTGGTTGAAATTGGTAAGGAAATTGCATGTAAGTGCGATGGTTTACCTCTAGCTGCAAAAACACTAGGGGGTCTCTTAAGTTGCAACCTAGACTACAAGGAGTGGAATCACATATTGAATAGCAATCTTTGGGATCCACCACATGCTGATAGTGTTCTTCCTTCTCTAAGATTGAGCTACCACTATCTTCCAACTTACTTGAAACGATGCTTTGCGTATTGCTCAATTTTTTCAAAAGACTATGAATTTGAAAAGGAAAATGTAATTCTACTATGGATGGCAGAAGGTTTAGTTCCACAAGCAGAGAACGAGAAAGCAATGGAGGAGGTTGGTGGAAGATACTTTGATGAACTGTTATTGCGGTCACTATTTCAAAGGCCAAGATTGGATCGACCAAGTTTCACAATGCATGATCTTATCAATGACTTGGCTATGTTTGTATCTGGAAAGTTTTTTTTAGGTTGGAGCAGAAAAATTCACATGAAGTTCCTGAAAGAGTACGCCACTTGTCGTATATGCGAGGAAAATTTGATACATCTTCAAAATTTGAGCCACTAGAAGAAGTCAAGTGTTTGCGTACCTTCCTTCCAGCATCTTTAGCACCATATGATATTGGGGATCGGGAATATGTTAGCAATAAGGTTCTAGATGATTTACTACCAGCACAAAAATATTTACGGGCATTTTCATTGTCTAGATACAAAAACATCACCGACTTACCTGATTCCATTGGTAACCACATACACTTGCGCTACATTGATCTCTCTTATACGACAATTAAAAGGTTACCAGATACAGTGTGTACCCTCTACAATTTACAAACTCTGTTGTTGAAAGGTTGTTATTATCTTGTTGAGTTGCCTGCAGAGATGAGGAGATTGATTCATTTGCGTCATCTTGATATTGGTGAAACTTTCATAAAAGAGATGCCTGTGCATATGGGTAGACTAAAAAGTTTGAGAACACTGACAGCTTTTGTGTTGGGGGAATCTACTGGGTCAAGCATTGCAGAACTGAGGGAGTTGTCGCACCTTGGAGGAAAAATCTCTATCTTGAATCTGCAAAATGTGGTCGGTGCTATTGATGCCTTGCTGAAGGATAAGAAAGATCTCAAGGAGGTAGAGTTGGCATGGGGTCCTGAAGCTTCCGATGATTTTGTAAAAGAGAGACATGTGCTTGAAAGGCTTCAACCTTGGGTAAATTTGGTGAAGCTAACCATCAGGTGTTATGGCGGAATCAGTTTCCCGAATTGGGTGGGAGACTCGTCCTTCTCCAACTTACAAGTGATGCGTCTCAGTGGCTGTGGTAATTGCAGTTCATTGCCACCAGTTGGTCAGCTACCTGCTCTGAAAGAGCTCTACGTAGAAAGCATGGAATCAGTTGTGAGGGTTGGTGGTGAGTTGTACGGGGGAAATCAACAATTTCAATGTTTAGAGAAGCTAGTGTTTTGGAATATGCCAGAGTGGGAGGAATGGCAGCCAAGTCCAAGTGGAGGTGAAAGTCCAAACTTTCCTTGTCTTAAGGAGTTGAAATTACACAATTGTCCGAAGCTGAGAGGAAACTTGCCCACTCATCTTCCTTCCTTGAAAACACTTCAGGTGTACAATTGTGAGGTTCTACATGAAAACAGGGCCAGTAATACCCTGAACACGGAATCTTTACGAGGATCTCTTGAAGAACTGAGAATAGATGGATGCCCGGGTCTCTCATTGTTACTAGAGTCGACGGAGACGCTGCCGTCGCTTCAGATGCTTGCTATTTATTTTGATGGGAGAGAGTGGTTGCCGCAAATGGTGCACAACAGCAATCGTCTTCAAAGTTTGACTTTATTTGGATGTTCCTCACTCTTGTCGTTCCCTACAAATGGTCTGCCCACCACGCTGACGTCACTCACTATTCTACGATGCGAGAAATTAGAATTCCTATCACGTGAGATGATGGCCAAATTGACTTCCCTTCAGTCATTGTGTCTAGATAGGAGCTGTGATTCTCTGAGGTCGTTCCCTTTGGGCATTTTCCCCAACCTTTCATCTCTTTGGATCGATGGTTGTGAGAATCTGGAATCCCTTTCAGTTGAAGGAGGAGCAGATGAAAATCTCAGCCATCTCAACTCCCTGTCTATTTGGCATTGTCCAAATCTTGTCTCTGTTGCCGACGGGGGATTGCCCACTCCCAACCTCACTTCCTTTCAAGTCTACTACTGCGAGAATTTGAAGTTGTTGCCGGACCGAATGCACACCCTCACCGCCCTTCAAGATTTGCAGATACATGATCTTCCAAATGTGGTGTCATTTGCACAAGGGGGTTTGCCTCCCAACCTACAATCATTTCGGATCAGCTGGTGTGAGAGACTGAGGCCTTCAGTGGAGTGGAGATTGCGAGGACTTGCCTCTCTTCAACAATTTCGGATCTCAGGATACAAGGATCTGGTGGAGATGTTGCTCAATGAACAGCTGCTCCCTGCCACTCTTCACACTCTCCAAATCGATTATGTATGGGATCTGAAATCTTTGGACGGAAAGGGACTTGAGCACCTCACTTCTCTTCAACACCTACAAATTGAATGTTGCAGGAGTCTCAAATTCCTGCCAAAAGAGGGTTTTCCGGCATCTCTTTCTTATCTGTGCATCTGGGGGTGCCCTTCTCTGAAGAAGAGGTATCGGAAAAAGAAGGGAAAAGATTGGAGAAACATAGCTCGCATTCCTTTCATAAAGATAGATGATGAAATCACCATATGACAAGAGGTAAAACCCTGGATGATACTTTTGTCATACTTGTCTCGTTTGCGACATAACTGTAATTTTCTGGTAGGTGTGATGGGACTAACAGATATATCGATTTAATTGATGCAGCGAGCGAGCAAGCAAACCTTTAAAGATAGGATTATCAAATGGTGCTCTGATTTTCTGGACCGTCAATTTTGAAATATTTTGGATGGAAATGGACTTTCAACAGCTCCCACTCTCGCAATTCCTGCCGGGACAGGGACCTCTAGACCTCAGCTCTCGTCAACAGCTGTATAAAGATTGAATGTATCTGAGGGAAAACGATGTTTGCTTACATCGACCACTCAGGTACTTGTGTGTATATATATCTATAATTCTGTGGTTTCCATATGGCGGAATGCTTACTCATCTTTCAGTGCCTCTGTCATCTTGTGGTAGGTGCATATATACATATGTTTGTCTACAAACACCATGGTTGAAGAGAGCATGGCTTATTGGCACCGCTTGCTAGAATGCCAGTGTAAATAGACTTGGTGGCTAGCTGCTGCGCCTACAGATTTCAGTGTAAGTAGTTGAACACTTGAGTGTAATTTGTTCTTCCTTTATGGATCAATGTAATTCAACTGTGCAATCAGTCAGGACAACACGATGGGACTAACGTATTTGTCGGCTTGTTTTCTATATATTAGCATTCTTCTCACCATTTTCGATTTCATGAGCAATCAAGAGAATATTCAAAGTTGCATCTGGACTTGGAGGTTTGTTTTCTATATATTAGCGTGTGTGATGTCGTGTGACTCACATAGCAAGTTAACAAACGAAGAAAAAAATTATTTAAACATTGAAGATTTGCTCACTATATATGCAGGTAATCATTTGATTCGTTAACTGCTCTAGAGGAAGATGCCGTGGAGAAATAGATGATGATAAGCCTTAACCCAAGTTTGATGGTGAAAGTTTTAGCAGCGGGCTCTCAAATTTAGAAACCTTCTTGGTAAGTAGCAACTCAACCGTGGTAGTGCTTCATGTACATGATAGCACATAGCAGGATTTCCCAGTTGCTAAGGGGTCCATTCATTGTTTTTCTGATTCATATGCAGCCACACACTTTGTTGCTGCTTGTGCAGCCAAGTGCGCGCACGGGGGTTCATTTTTCTCTACCATGTACATTTTAGGCCATAACACTACGTCGTTGGCTCCCGATGGCAGATGATTTGGAGGCTGCTGCTGTGGAAGTGGATATAATTCCACTCTATCTTGGCAGGACTGTAGAAGAGGTATCGGAACAAGAAGGGAAAAGATTGGAGAAACATATCTTGCATTCCTTGCATAAAGATAGATGATGAAATCATCATATGAGCCTTCATTTCACTCTCTCCAACTCTCAACTCTCAAGACAAAGCCAGGTACGTATTTAGTACCACTTATCTGTATCTATGTTAAATTGATTGTCCTCAAATTTTCCAACAAAATTGATTGTCTTCAAATTTAATTTGACACTTATCTGTATTTAGCACCACTTAACTGTGTTTGGATGAATGCCAGTACATTGCGTTACTATACAAGGAGGCTGGTTGTTCCGCTACAGATTTCACCACAAGGATATATCAATCTTCGGTTGAACACTGATGATTTGTAAATTGTAATTTACCTTCCTTTTCTTTTGCTTTCTTCATTTTACCTTGTCTATATTTGCATTTATAATATCGGGTATTTTTTAATAGTGGAATCGAAGTATGCTATGCCCCCCTTGGAGAATTTCAGATCAGGGGAAGTGAGGATCTGTTGGGGACATTGCTCAAACGACAGCGGCTCTCTTCCACCCACACCATCTGGACGATCAAGTTTGAAATCTGTGGATCAAAACACCACACACTCTCGGAATTCCTGCCCGGAGAAGGACCTCAGCAGCTATGCATCATCGATTGTCTTGCATTCCTGCCGGAAGAGGATTTGCTGCCATCTCTTTCTTTTCCGAGGATCACCAAAATGTTTGTTCTTCTCGGAACTTTGAACCGCTTATTTGTGGTGGAGGTAGTTTCGAATCGTTTCATTGTGTTGCGCTCAAGTTTTGCTTTTAAACATTGCAAATCAAATTATTTATAAAATTGGATTTAAAAAAAACAATAAGATTATCTGTACTAAATTCATCTAAATTATGAATATAAAAAGGGAAATTCGAACTTGGGTGTAAAAGAGAAAGCACACTGCTCTATACTAGTTGGTGTGGCAAATTTGTATATATATTTTTTATCTTATTAAAAAAGAAACTAGCTAGTGGCTTTGTCATGTCCAACCTTTCTGAGGTTAGGACTCACAGAGACGTTTCGACCTCCACCTGGCTACTATTGTGTGATGCTACAATCAGGGACGTCCTGATACGAGAATTCTTGGAAACTTTTAAAATTTTCATATGATATTTAGGCTTTAATGAGGTAGTGGCATACTTGTAAATAAAGAAAAATTTATTTCCAACGGAATTGGGCTGACAGAATGAATGGCTGAAAAAAAAAAATTATTGCATTTTGGGCTTTTAATTCAGCCCATATCTTTTACTGTTTGTAGGGTCTAATATAAGTTAGTGTGTCTTTATGATTAAATATGAAACTTTTTTTAGTTAAATAATGGCTTATGGTGGTTTTTGGTTAAATAATAGCTTAGCCCCAAATCCTTTTCATTAAAGCTTCCTTAATTTTATTAGGAGGTTGCATGGATTTTGATACGGTATGTTCGCTTTATGCGAGAGATATTTTTAAATCATGGGCGCTACGCGCCCCTCAAATATGTTGCGTTAGTTGTTTATCATTGTTAACAATTGGTAGGATTAAGGCTTTTAATTAGACGTGTTACGCGTGACTTACAAATTTATAATGACATGTGCTTGGCATTGTTTACAATTTCTATTTTATTTTTGATATTTTTATTTAATAAGATACTCTTGCTACTTGCAAGATTGAAATATGAATCAAACAAAATGACTAATACCAAATAATTTAGTACAGATGTGCCAAGAGATCAACAAATATAAGTGAACATATGAAGTATGGATTCCAATGTGTGCATAAATTATCAAGATTGAAGACCATAAAGTTTGCCAACATCAGTGTCACATTTCCACCCATTGGTTCGCACTTCATATTTCAAATTTCCGTTGTTTGTAGATTTAATAGCGCTTTTTTTTTTGTTTTTCTTTTATGGACAATCAAACGTAGGGCTGGAAAAAAATCCCAAAAATCCCAAACCAAACCAAAAAAATCCCGATCCCAAACCAAAAAAATCCCAAACCAAAATTCCCGAAAATTTCGGTATGTCATCCCGAACCAAACCGAAATTTTCAGTATGGGATTCGGGACTACATCTCCATTTTTTCGGTATTCCCATACCGAATAGAAATAAATATTATATATATATATATTATTTTTTAATTATAAGAGAATTATTTTTTAATTAATGGTATTGGTAGCCACTAGTGTGATTAATCTTTGTCTCAACTAAATAACTAATGTTTGTTTGTTCAATTTGTTTGTTTCTATATTCCAGTTGTCTCAACTAATGTGATTAATCTTTGGATATTAGTTTCCTGCATACCTAGCCACTAGTGTGATTAATATGTGGATATTAGTTTCCTGCATACCTAGGCAAATCAAGGAAACAAAGGAGCAAAGACCATTATGCATGCATGAACATATCAGTATACATATATTGTATATATATACACGGACAAGGTGGGTACAGGGCATGCAATTAGTTGAGCTCAAATTTTTTTTTCTTTTGTTTTCGAGTACACAATATAGTTGTTCTTTCAGACATGGGCGCCGCCAAAATTTTCATTTAATTACAATTATGTGGAGGAGGAATCAAAGTTGGAATGTGGGGTGAGATGGCATTAGCCCAAAAACTTTGTGCATAAATGGGTAGTGGGTAGATTGAAACTTAATTTTAGCCCAAAAACATAATATGTCAAATTTTAGCCCAAAAACATAATATGTCAAATTTTAGTCCAAAAGCCCAAAAACATTTCGGGATTCCCGATTTGTCCCGAAATCCCGAAATTATTTCGGGATTCCCGAAAATTGGGATTCCCGAAAATTTGGTTTGGGATTGGTATTGAATTTGGGATTCCCAAAAATTTCGGTTTGGGAATCGGGACAAGGGTTTCGGTAACGGAGAACGGGAAGTTATAATTTGGGAAACGAACCCATTAATTGTTCTCAATGTTGAATTCGTGAGATTAACCATTTTGGTGAAGGTAAAGATTCCGTTTTTGTATGGAAAAGTAAGACCCATAGAGAGAAACTGGAGGAAAGCAGGGAACGGGAGAAGTTGGAGCGCAAGGGAGAAGTGATATTGGAATGAGATGTTACTACGACTACTGCTTCAAATACACTTTTATTTCTTTAAGCACGTTCTAGTTTCTTTCCTCCACTTTCTCTCCTTGCCACGTTTCACCATCATGTCCTTACTTTTTTATTTTTTATTTTATAATCTGTAATAAAAGGGGCAATCTTGAGATATTGAATGTTTCATCGTGATGTGGCAATTGATCTTTTTATATTTTTTTACAAGTAGATGTTTTGGCATTAGAGGAGAATAATGACAAGAGGATGGTGGAGGATGGTGACAATACGATGCCAAAAGGGTAGTGACAAGATAATGGTGGGGTCCATGTGATAATATCATATGGAAAAATGGTGAAATCCAAATATATTGCATGATTTTTTTCTACTGTATTTTTCCAACCTCCACCAATTTCTACTTTAAGTCTGCCGTGTGTGGTCGTCCCACTGCATTATTGACCAAGAAAAATATCAAGTCGTCTCACCACTCACCCGTCATGAAGTAATCTCACAAGATGATGCCATGTGACAAGAGGATGGTAAGGAGAAAAAGCAGTCTGTGGTCCAAACTCTACGAACTACTTTATTTTGCGTGGTCCGCTGCATTATTGACCGAAAAATTATAGAGTTCTCACTAGTCATGAAGTAATCTTAACAGCCTTTGCCAAGAACAATTTTCAGTTTCCCAACTTCAAATACTTGATCAAAATTAGTCCTTTGGCCACGAAGAGAGAAAAATGAACGATAATTATATTTTGATTGTGAGTTCTAATAACAACACTCAATTATTATTATTTTGGTAAAGCTTAGAGCCAAAACGAGGGAGAAGTAGATATCCAATTCTAATAGTTTACCATGCGATGATTGTCGTCGAAATTAACTCATATCTTGCTCTACATGAGTATCTCACTCTCGTTTGAAAGCACATGTCTAGTAAAACAAATGTCTATGAAAGAAAATCTCTCATGCTTGATCAATTTCGACTAATTGGGGCAACATGGGTAAATTTTCAAGAATTCAGATGTCTATGAAAGCAGAAGCTTTTAATTTGAGTTGTAATTATTGAATTCTCTTAACGAAAAACTCATGTTACTGTTTACTTTAACGAAAAACCATATTTTTACACTAAAAAGTCAATCTTGGTAATATTCACTTTACCCTTTATTTTATCATTTTTTTAAACTCAAAGTTTTCAAACCATTTTCATTAATTTTCCTTTCATTTTATTGGGGGATCTGGGATCTACTTGATTTCTCTCTGCAGTGGAATTAAAATTGGGATTTTGATGCGTCTTTGTTATTTTTGTGGTTAATTTAAAGGTATTATTTAATTATATTTTCGATGAAATTTATTAATCTCATGTTAATCAATTGCTATTAGGGTTTTGTGATTGATTTAATTTTATTAGGGAGGTTGCGTTAAGATTGTCTTCTAGATTTGAAGAATTCAAATTTGCAAGTTGGTTTGTGGCAATTTTCAGTCACCATGATTTGGTTTAAAGGATAATCATTTTGTAACTTGCTGTTTGTGTTATATTTTCAGCTGGGCATTTTGGTTGACTGTTAGCCTTTGGCTTCGGCTCACTGGGAACTTATGAAAATTGAAGTAATGGGAGGCTACTCCACTATAATTTATTGTGCTTTTACTTGGAGCACAACAGCTATTTTGTTCAAGCACACCAGCTTTCACTTCAAGCACAACAGTCATAGTTTATTAACAAAAATTTATATAAAAAAAAAATGACCCGTGGACCTATAGGAATCGGCTCGTTTCAAACGAGCCAAGTTAAGTCCGATTTCATTTCTCAGCTAACAGGACCCGTCCTGCCCCACCACATTTCATTTACAAACGGGTTCGGTCTGTTTGCTTCAATTTTGAGTCTGGCCTGGTTCGTATCCATCCCTAGTTTATTCCACATTTGCGTATACAATCTTCTTTATTTACTCTAAACTAACATCTCTGCATGCGCGTTATGTATTTTTTTTAATCATAGGTGTTACCCAGCCCTAAAATGTGTCGCATTAGTTATTTATCATTGTTAACAATTGGTACATGGATTAGAGGCATTTAATCAAGCGTGCTAACAATAGTACATGGATTAGAGGTCTTTAATCAGGCGTGCTACGCTTGACTTACAAATTTATAATTACATGCGCTTGGAACTATTTACAAATGTTTATTTTATTTTTGATATTTTCATTTACTAAGATACTCTTGCTACTTACAAAACTGAAATATGAATCAAACAAAACTGCTAATATCAAACAATTTAGGAGAGTGTAGTCAAACTAAGATTTTAAAGGATTTTAAAAGTGATAGATTTGATAGGATTTAAGAGGATTAAAGACTACTACAAAATTCATATGGATTTTTAAAGAATTTGAAAGGATTGTGGTGGAAGGATTTGAAATCCTAGAGGGTGAGGTTGGATTCTTTTTAATAGTGGTTATATATACTTTTGGCTCTCAAATTCTACAAAATCCACAACTTATTGAAATCCTCCAAAATCTTAATTTTTTTAATACGCTTGGATTTGGATGGATTTTAAAATCCTTTAAAATCTTTTAATTGACTACACCTAAATTTTAAAGGATTCTAAAATTCTTTAATTGACTACACCTAGATTTGAATGAATTCTAAAATCCTTTAAAATCTTTTAATTAACTACACTAGAATTTTAAAATCTTTTAAAATCCTCTCAAATCCAAGTTTGACTACATCCCTTTAGTATAGATGTGCCAAGAGATCAACAAATACAAGTAAAATATTAAGTACGGATTCCAAGGCGCATAGATTATCAAGATTGAAGACCATAAAGTTTGCTAACATCAATGTCACATTTCCACCTATTGGTTCGCACTTCATGCTTCAAATTTCCGTTGTTTGTAGATTTAATTGTGGTTAGTTTTTCTTTTCTTGGCTGGGCAACCAAGCGGATGCTTCAAATACAATTTATTTCCCTAAGCACGTTCTAGTTTTTTCCTCCACTTTCTCTCCTTGCCTCCTTTTACCATCATGTCCTTACTTTTTTACTTATATATAACATGTAATGAAAGGGTAATTTTGAAATATTAAATGTTTCACCTGTTTTTCCTTTTGACTGTATATATGTAGAAGATAGAGATGGATTGTCTGCCCTTCTCCCCATACTTTCTACATGCCCTCTTATTTTATGCAATTACGGTTAAATCATGTCAACATTTATTTTTTGTCTTATTATTTTTATAAAAAATTTAATATAAAATGTTAACGTAATTTAACGATGATCGTACAAAACAGAAAAACATGAGGAAGGTATGGGAAGGAGAGGGGCAGACAATCCATCTTCGTAGAAGATGGTGACAAGACGATGCCAAGAGGGAGGTGACAAGAGAATGGTGGGGCCCATGTGATAATATCATATGGAAAAATGGTCAAATCCAAATATATTGCATGATTTTTTCTGCTGTATTTTTCCAAACACCACCAATTACTACTTTATGTTTGCCTCGAGTGGTCCACCGTATTATTGACCAAAAAAATATTAAGATCATCTTCAACTGAAAGGTTTAGAAAGTCAGAAGATTGAAAATAGTTCGAAAATCATCTCCAATCGAGGGCTATACCAGAGGGCTTGTGAATTTGAGAGGGCCCACTAGAATCTAAAAAGGCCAAATGGCTGGAGGGTTGGCCAGGAAAACTGGAAATCCTGTCTGTTATAATCAACAATAATGCTTTGATTTTTTTTTTTTACAGTTTTATTATTATTTTTTATTTACAAAATTTTTCTTATAACTTCTATTTTTCATTTTTTTTAAATTCTATTTTTTCCAATAACTTTTATTTTACAAAATTTGTTTCATATTTTTTTTAAATTCCATTTTTTCCTATAATTTCTATTTCACAAAATTTGTTTCATTTTATTTTAAATTTTATTTTTTTCCTATAATTTCGATTTCACAAAATTTGTTTCATATATTTTTTTAATTCTATTTTTTTCCTATAATTTCCTAAGTCATTATACAACATTAAATTAAGGGGTGTGCTATCCACACACCCCTTGATAATTTTTGTCCGTTGATCTTCTTCAATTCATCCGATCCGACGACCGAATATTAAAAATGTGTATGAGAAGTAAAATGGCGTGTGTGGATATCACACCCCTAAATTAAATTAAGTAACATGAAACAACATTAATAACATTAACCAACATAAAAATTATATAACATAAAAAAAACATTTTACAACATGAAACTTAAACAACATTTAAGTTGTGGTTTTTAAATAATAAATTATGTTTGGCCTTATGGCCCTTGGTTGGAGACGGTTTTTTGTGACAAGGCTAAAACGAGCCCTCTGGTCCTCAGTTAGAGACGGAGGCAAATATGACCATGTACTATTCATTAAAATATTAATATTTTAGAGGGTCAGAGGATTAAAACGAGCCCTCTGGCCAGCCCTCGGTTGGAAATGGCCTAAATCGTCTCCCCAGTTATGAAGTAATCTTAATAGCCTTTGCTAAGAACAACTTTCAGTTTCCCAACTTCAAATACTTTTTTTTTTTTGGACAAAGTTCCAACTTCAAATACTTGATCAGAATTAATCCTTTGGCCATGAAGAGAGAAAAATGAATGATAATTATATTTTGATTGTCAGTTCCAATAACAACATCCAATTATTATTGTTTTGGTAAAGCCTAGAGCCAAACCGAGGGAACATTAGATATCCAGTTCTAATAGTTTATCATGTGATGCATGTCGTCGAAATTAACCCATACCTTGTTCTACATGAGTCTCTCACACTCGTTTGAAAGAAGATGTCTAGTAAAACAAATGTCAATGAAAGCAGAAGCTTTTAATTTGAGTTGTAATTATTGAATTCTCATTTGCATGTTTCATTTTATTGGGGGATCTGGGGATCTACTCAATTTCTCTCTGCAGTGGAATTGAAAATTGGAATTTTGATGCAGTTTTGTTATTTTTGTGGTTAATTAAAGGTATTATCTAATTTTATTTTCAATGAAATTTATTAATCTCATGTTAATCAATTGCTATTAGGGTTTTGTGATTGATTTAATTTTAAGGAAAACTAACGAAAAGTTCAAAAAAACTTTAGTTTTAATAAAATCCACTTTAGGAATTTGCTATTAGCAAAGGAAAGTCGTCGTGCACTCAATCCATCCTTGATAACTTCGTTACACAAGTGCACAATGATTTTTTTAAAGTGCCAATAAAAATTCTTCTGCAATATTTCAAATCTCTTATTGCCCTTATTTTATTTATGAGTAAATTGTAGCAATGATCCCTTAACCCATCAAAATCTGCAGCTATGGTCCCTTAGCTTTAATTCAAATGGAGAAATGGTCCCTCAACTTTAACCCAATTGAAGCAATGGTCACTCAATTTTAACCAATTTGATTAAATTACAGAGATAAAAATAGAGGTTCAAATTTATATGTAAAAGAGGGAGTGCAATGTTAATCTAAATTAAGAAGCGATAAACGTATACTTTTGTATAATTATGCGGCATCAAATTCGATAATTTGACAATATAAGTGTGCAGCTCGAGTGTGTTCTTAATTAGTTTTGTGCAAAAACATGTTAACCTTCACTCAAAATTGGTTAACGCAAGAAAATATAGGCAAAGCAGAATGGTCCCATGAATGTTGAATATACAGGCAAAGCAAATCCAAAACACGAATGGTCCCATAAATGTTGAAAATATAGGCAAAGCAAGAAAAGTAAGAAACTTTTCAAAATTTTTTTTCCATAGCGAGATTAAAAGTATAAAATGTAAATAATAATTATAGAAATTAAAAGTATAAAATGTAAATAATAATTGTAGAAATTGAACCCAACATTGAGGTCCTGCCCGAAACTTTTACTTTATTTTCCACGCGAAGATGTTCCCCTTGGAATTAGACGACGCCATGTGAAAAGATGCTCGAAACTTTTACTTTATTTTTCACACGAAGACGTTCCCCTTGGAAGTAGAAATAATGACAAGATGGTGACAAGACGATGCCATGTGAAAAGACGATGCCATGTGACAAGAGGATGGTGGGAACATGTGATCATATCATATGGAAAAATGTTGAGATCCAATGCATTGCGTGATTCTTTTTAGTGTGTTTTTCCGAACTCCACCAATTACTACTTTATGTTTGCCGTGTGTGGTCCCCTGCATTATTGATCAAAAAATTATCAAGTCGTCTCACCAGTCATGAACATGAAGTAATCTTAACAGCCTTTGCCAAGAACAATTTTCAGCTTCCCAACTTCAAATACTTGATCAGAATTAATCCTTTGGCCACGAAGAGAGAAAATGGCTTTGGTTGGAGAGGCTTTGCTCTCCGGTTCGATCCAGGTGCTGTGCGACAAGATCGCCTCCGGACAGTTCGTGGACTTCTTCCGGGCAACAAGACTCGACCATTCACTCATGGGCAAACTGAAGGCGACGTTGATGATCCTTCGTGCAGTGCTCAACGATGCAGAGGAGAAGCAGATCGTCAACCCTGACGTCGGGATGTGGCTGGACGAGCTCAACAGGTGCTGTGTTCGATGCCGAGGACTTGGTGGATGAGATCGATGCTGAAGCTTTGCGTTGCAAGGCGGAAGATCAGACTAAGAAAACCCAGGTGTGGGACATCCTTTCTACCTCTCTTAATCCTTTTCATTATAAAGGCTTGAATGGTAGAATAAAAGATTTATTCAACGAGTTGGAACACCTTGCAAAACAAAAAGACATCCTCGGTCTTAGGGGAGGTGTTGTGGGCAAGGTTTCACAAAGAACTCCCACAACTTCTGTTGTTGAGGACGGATTTTGTACCTACGGAAGGGAAGGAGATAAGGAAAAGTTAAAAGCTCTGCTGCTGCTATCTGACAATGAAAGTAGCAGTAATTTTTCTGTAGTCCCTGTCGTCGGAATGGGTGGGGTTGGTAAGACGACTCTTGCTCAACTGCTTTACAACGATGAACAAGTTAAAGAGCTCTTTGATACTAATGCCTGGGTTTGTGTTTCCGAACAGTATGAGGCTTTGAGGGTTATTAAGACCCTTATTGAGGAAATCACTAAAAGGCCTTGCGACAATTGGAGATGAATTTACTTGAAGTTCAACTAAGGCAACAATTGATGGGAAACAGAGTTCTTACTTGTCCTGGATGACCTTTGGAATGAAAACTACGGTGACTGGGATCGGCTACGAACTCTTTTCACGTATGGGGCAAAGGGAAGCAAGGTCATTGTAACAACAAGGAGTAGACGTGTTGCATCCATCGTGCACAATACTATTCCTGTTCACGACTTAGAAGAATTGTCGGATGGAGATTGTTGGTTGTTGCTAGCAAAACATGCGTTCAGAAATGAAAACCCCGGTGCACATCCAGACTTGGTTGAAATTGGTAAGCAAATTGCACGTAAGTGCAAGGGTTTGCCTCTAGCCGCAAAAACGCTAGGGGGTCTCTTAAGTTGCAACCTAGACTACAAGGAATGGAATCACATATTGAATAGCAATCTTTGGGATCTACAACATGCTGATGGTGTTCTTCCTTCTCTAAGATTGAGCTACCACTATCTTCCAACTTACTTGAAACGATGTTTTGCTTATTGCTCAATTTTTCCGAAGGATTATGAATTTGAAAAGGAAAATGTCATTCTGCTATGGATGGCAGAAGGTTTAATTCCACATGCAGAGAACGAGAAAGCTATGGAGGAGGTTGGTGGAAGATACTTTGACGAACTGTTATTGCGGTCACTATTTCAAAGGCCAAGATTGGATCGACCAAGGTTCACAATGCATGATCTTATCAATGACTTGGCTATGTTTGTGTCTGGAAAGTTATGTTTTAGGTTGGAGCAGAAAAATTCACATGAAATTCCTGAAAGAGTTCGCCACTTATCGTATATGCGAGGACAATTTGATACATCTTCAAAATTTGAGCCACTAGAAGGAGTCAAGTGTTTGCGTACCTTCCTTCCAGGGTCTTTAGCACCATATTATCCTTGGGGTCATGAATATGTAAGCAATAAGGTTCTAGATGATTTACTACCAGCACAAAAATATTTACGGGCATTTTCATTGTCAAGATACAAAAACATCACTCACTTACCTGATTCCATTGGTAACCACATACACTTGCGCTACATTGATCTCTCTTATACAACAATTAAAAGGTTACCAGATACAGTGTGTACCCTCTACAATTTACAAACTCTGTTGTTGAAAGGTTTCTTCTCTTGTTGAATTGCCTGCAGACATGAGGAAATTGATTCATTTACGTCATCTTGATATTGATAGAACCAACATAAAAGAGATGCCCGTGCATATGGGTAGACTAAAAAGATTGAGAACGCTGACAGATTTTGTGCTGGGGAAATCTACTGGGTCAAGCATTGCAGAACTGAGGGAATTGTCGCATCTTGGAGGAAAAATTTCTATCTTGAATCTGCAAAATGCAGTCGGTGCAATTGATGCCTTGCTGAAGGATAAGAAAGATCTCAAAGAGGTAGAGTTGGCATGGGGTCCTGAAGTTTCCGATGATTCCGTAAAAGAGAGACATGTACTCGAAAGACTACAACCTTGGGTAAATTTGGTGAAACTAACCATCATGCGTTATGGCGGAACCAGTTTCCCGAATTGGGTGGGAGACTCTTCCTTCTCCAACTTACAAGTGATGCGTCTCATTGGTTGTGGTAATTGCATTTCATTGCCCCCAGTTGGTCAGCTACCTGCTCTGAAAGAGCTCTACGTAGAAAGGATGGAATCAGTTGTGAGTGTTGGTGTTGAGTTGTACGGGGGAAATCAACAATTTCAATGTTTAGAGAAGCTAGAGTTTTGGGATATGCCAGAGTGGGAGGAATGGCAGCCAAGTCCAAGTGGAGGTGAAAGTCCAAACTTTCCTTGTCTTAAGGAGTTGAAATTACACAATTGTCCGAAGCTGAGAGGAAACTTGCCCACTCATCTTCCTTCCTTGAAAATACTTGATGTGTACAATTGTGAGGTTCTACATGAAAACAGGGCCAGTAATACCCTGAACACGGAATCCTTACGAGGATCTCTTGAACAACTGACAATAAAGGGATGTCTGGGTCTTAAGGAGTCGACGGAGACGCTGCCGTCGCTTCAGATGCTTGATATTTCTGATCCTGGTGGGAGAGAACGGTTGCCGCAAATGGTGCACAAATGCAATCGTCTTCAAAGTTTGACTTTATATGAATGTTCCTCACTCTTGTCGTTCCCTACAAATGGTCTGCCCACCACGCTGACGTCACTCCGTATAGAAAAGTGCAAGAAATTAGAATTCCTATCACGTGAGATGATGGCCAAATTGACTTCCCTTCAGTCTTTGGATCTAACAGAGAGCTGTGATTCTCTGAGGTCGTTCCCTTTGGGCATTTTCCCCAACCTTTCATCTCTTGATATATGGAGATGTGAGAATCTGGAATCCCTATCTGTATCTGTTGAAGGAGGAGCAGATGAAAATCTCAGCCATCTCAACTCCCTGGTTATCGGTTGCTGTCCACATCTTGTCTCTTTTCCCGACGGGGGATTGCCCACTCCCAACCTCACTTACTTTTCATTAAATGAATGCGAGAATTTGAAGTTGTTGCCGGACCGAATGCACACCCTCACCGCCCTTCAAAGATTAACGATACACCGTCTTCCAAATGTGGTGTCATTTGCACAAGGGGGTTTGCCTCCCAACCTACAATCATTTTGGATCTCAGGAAACAAGGATCTGGTGGAGACGTTGCTCAATGAACAGCTGCTCCCTGCCACTCTTCACACTCTCGAAATCTATCATGTATCGAATCTGAAATCTTTGGACGGAAAGGGATTTGAGCACCTCATTTCTCTTCAACACCTAGAAATTTCACGCTGCGAGAGTCTCGAATTCCTGCCAAAAGAGGGTTTTCCGGCATCTCTTTCTTATGTCAGCATCAGAGATTGCCCTTGTTTGAAGAAGGGAAAAGATTGGAGTAACATAGCTCGCATTCCTTGCATACACATAGATGATGAAATCACCATATGAGCTTTCATTCACTCTCTAACTCTCAACTCTCAAGAAAAAAACCAGGTACTTTTTTTATTTATTCTTAAATTGATTGTCCTCGGCAATATTCCAGCTTAAATTAAAGCTTCAGAGTCTAATTACGATGAAATTACAGGAGAGTGCGAGGGGAGTGAATTATTTCTAGTCTGATACTGTGGAACTACTTGGGGGTCGATATATATGATTCTCCTGCAGGTACTTGTTTGTGTATATACTGCTGCAGTTTCCATATGGCGGAATGCTTACTCATCTTTCAATGCCTCTGTCATCTTGTGGTAGGTGCATATACATATGTTTCTCTACAAACACCATGGTTGAAGAAAGCATGGCTTATTAGCACCGCTTGCTAGAATGCCAGTGTAAATAGACTTGGTGGCTATCTGCTGCGCCTACAGATTTCAGTGTAAGTAGTTGAACACTTGAGTGTAATTTGTTCTTCCTTTATGGATCAATATAATTCAACTATGCAATCAGTCAGGACAACACGATGGGACTAACATATTTGTCGGCTTGTTTTCTATATATTAGCATTCTTCTCACCATTGTGGATTTCATGAGCAATCAAGAGAATATTCAAAGTTGCATCTGGACTTGGAGGTTTGTTTTCTATATATTAGCGTGTGTGATGTAGCAAGTTAACAAAGAAAGAAAAAAATTATTTAAACATTGCAGATTTCCTCACTATATATGCAGGTAATCATTTGATTCGTTAACTGCTCTAGAGGAAGATGCCATGGAGAAATAGATGATGATAAGCCTTAACCCAAATTTGATGGTGAAAGTTGGAGCAGTGGGCTCTCAAATTTAGAACCCTTCTTGGTAAGTACCAACTCAACCATGGTAGTGCTTCATGTACATGATAGCATATAGCAGGATTTCCCAGTCGCTAAGGGGTCCATTCATTGTTTTTCCGATTCATATGCAGCCACACACTTTGTTGCTGCCTGTGCAGCCAAATGCGCGCACAGGGGTTCATTTTTCTCTACCACGTACATTTTAGGCCATGACACTACGTCGTTGGCTGCCAATGGCGGTTGATTTGGAGGCTGCTGCTATGGAAGTGGATATAATTCCACTCTATCTTTGGCAGGACTGTAGCAAAAGGAGAAGCATTATTCTGCGTTGAAGTTGTTGTTGTTGGCAGGACTGTGCTGCCAAATGCGAGAATTTGAAGTTGCTGCTGGCCCAAATGCACACCCTCGCCGCCCTTCAACATTTGTGGATACAAAATCTTCCAAATCTGGGGTCACCTGCACAAGGGGTTTTGCCTCCCAACCTACGAACATTTTGGATCGAAAATTGTGAGAGACTGAGGCCTTCAGTGGAGTGGGGATTGCAAGGACTTGCCTCTCTCCCAGAATTTCGGGTCCAAGGAAACAAGGATCCGTTGGAGATGTTGCTCTGGGAACAGCTGCTCCTTGCCACTCTTCACAATCTCTGGATCTCTATACTTTCAAATCTGAAATCTTTGGACGAAAGGGACTTAAGCATCTCACTTCTCTTCAACAGCTACAAATTTCAAGCTGCGAGAGTCTCGAATTCCTGCCGGAAGAGGGTTTGCCGGCATTTCTTTCTTATCTGAGCATCTGGGGTTGTCCTTCTCTGAAGAATCGGAACAAGAAGGGAAAAGATTGGAGAAACATATCTCGCATTCCTTGCATAAAGATAGATGATGAAATCACCATACAAATTTCAAGCTGCGAGAGTCTCGAATTCCTGCCGGAAGAGGGTTTGCCGGCATTTCTTAAATTGTAATTGACCTTCCTTTTCTTTTGCTTTCTTCATTTTGCCTTGTCTATATTTGCATTTATAATATCGGGTATTTTTTTAACAGTGGAATCGAACTATGCTATGTCCCCCTTGGAGAATTTCAGATCAGGGGAAGTGAGGATCTATTGGAGACATTGCTCAAACAACAGCGGCTCTCTTCCACTCACACCATCTGGACGATCAAGTTTGAAATCTGTGGATCAAAACACCACGCACTCTCGGAATTCCTGCCCGGAGAAGGACCTCAGCAGCAATGCATCATCGATTGTCTTGCATTCCTGCCGCAAGAGGATTTGCCGCCATCTCTTTCTTTTCCGAGGATCACCAAAATGTTTGTTCTTCTCTGAACAGGAGGTGTGCAAAGAATATGAATGGAAAAGATTGAGGCAATATGGTTCACATTCCTTGCAAATTTCATTGATGGAAATCAAAGTCGGAACGTTGAACTGCTTATTTTTTTAATTTTGTACTTAAAACCTTCAGCAGGGCTGGTTTCCCTGTTTATCCCTCTTTGGAGCTGTTCATCAATGGCGAATGGTTTAGGCTGCCTGAACTTCCAACTTTCAGCTATTACTTTCAAAGTGGAGATGACCCTCACTATCCAAGTCCTTACAACTTCTCTCGTGTAAACGTTTGTACCTTTTCTTTTCCATCGTTTTTGTTAAAGATTTGTGGTGGAGGTAGTTCGTTTCACGGTGTTTCGCTCAAGTTTTGAGTTTAAACATTGCAGATCAAATTATTTATGAAGCGAGATTTTAAAAAAAGGATAAGATAATCTGCACTAAATTCATCTAAATTATGGATATAAAAACAGAAATTTGAACTTGGATGTAAAAGAGAAAGAACATTGCTCTATACTAGTTGGTGTAGCAAATTTGTATATATATTTTTTATCTTATTAAGAAAGGGACTAGCTAGTGGCTTTGCCATGTCCACTTTTTCGGGGGCTAGGACTCACAGAGGCATTTCGACCTCCCCCGACTACCATCGTATGATTCACCAGCACCAAAAATCGAACTTAGAACATGTCTTGTGAAATATGGATCTAAAATTCGTTCCCAACCACTGAGCCACTTTGTAATGATTAAATTTGTATATGCTATGCATAATCTTACAACACGCCCATACGAAAATATATGCATTTCATCCTTAAGGAAGATGATTGGGAGGTTAAAAGTAAAACCAGGTATGGTGCCAAAAAATGCAGCAGCAGCAGGAGATGCTGACCAAATTACTCGGTCGCTCAGGCGATTGCCCTTCTGCCAATGGAACTTGTTACTCCTCTTAACTACAATCAATCTGCAAATTATCTGGCATAACAATTATGACAGAATCCCATACATAAGAAAAAAGCTCTGCGCATTTCAGCTACATTTCGGCTTGAAAGGGCGTCACCTGCTCAAGAAACTGTTCACAAATAGACTTTGAACAGTTTGCAGAAGGAAAATTGCTCTTTTAACAACGAAACTGCCAGCATAAACGTAGTTTAGGAGACCGAAAGGGAAAAGGAGAAGGTAACATTACCTCTTCTTGACCGAAAGCTCATATTATAGGTGACTGAAGAATATAACTGAACATAGATTAACACATTCCGCTGTTGTTCAATTGATGCTTTCGGGGCAAGAGGACTGCAAATGAGCATTTTTGAACTTAGTCCAGCAGTACCTAAACATTGACTAGCCAACAGGACAAAGCAGTAGCTACTAAGACCATGGCTTTAAACCATAAAAATACCTTCAGATATGCAGCAAAAGCTTTCCGGGGGGAAGATCGTCTCTGGGTCTGCTCTATTCTGGGAAGAAGCAGCGAAAGCCAGGCAGTTTTTACTGTACAAAACAGAACCAATTTAGAGAAGTGCATCCGAGTTGACAGTTCCAAAGGGTACGCAATATATGCCATTCCTTAAGATACACATCGCTAGGATTATTGCGATGCTCTATAATTTGAAGATCATATTCCATCTATAACAACAATTGAAAAAAAAAATACCTTGACCACGAAGGAATAAATTTATTATTTGGTATGGTACTGTCGTCATCGTCATTCTCATCATCTGATTCTTTGTATGGTGAGATGTCATAAGACTGTTCTTGACTTGTAATGGCAACTGAATTCTTCATTGCTCTGTCTGAATTGCTCAGTACCTTAAATATCACAGGAAATGTCAGCACGAGGCTTTACAAAGAAAGTAAAAGTGCACGAAACGAAAGTATGGAGCTAATCATGCATAAGAAGACTTTCTAACGGTGGTTCATATTTGAATTTACAATTAGACTGGTGTAGCCTTCTTTCCTATATTGCGGTATAAAGACAGCAAAGGTGTAGCCTTCGTTCCCATATTGCGGTATAAAAACAGAGGATTATCACCATGCTCCAGCCTGCACAAGTAAAAGCACTCAACATATGCAAGTAGATCCTAAGATATGGTGGGTATTGGTTGTTAAAAAATCATTTGCATTTACCTCTGCTTTATATCCATAATTACTCGAGGCCTCGTGGAACTCTTCGTGGACAATACTTTCTTTTCCAGCATTGCTTAGTCTCCGAAATATTTCTGTTATTGTCATAACCCTTTTCTTCCTCCATTTTCTTACTTGCCATTTCATCCTTAGATTCCTTACCCCCAGGGCCTCTTCCATCCTACACAAGATCTAACATTGCAAAAAGAATCATACAATGGCCTGGGTTTTCATTTCTTTCTCTACCTTTTCTGCAGGTACCTTGTCTTCATGTTCTCTCTTGTTTCTACGTGCTTCAATACGCATTCTTTTTCTTTCCTTCTCCTTCCTTTCTTCCTCTTCCCTTTGTCTCTTCTTTGATGCCATATCTGCCTCTTTTTTCTTCCTCTCTTCTTCCATCTTCTTCTTCTGCAACTCCAACTGCTTCATATTCTCCTGCTCCATTCTTGACCGCTCAAGTTTCAAGGCTTCCTTCTTCATCTTGCGTTCATTCTCTTTCTTTTCTGCCTGACGCTTTGCAGCTTCAGCTGCCTCCAGGGCCTTCACTTTGACCTCCCTCTTCCCTGCAAGAAAGCACAAATAGGTCAAAATACTGGATCAAGTCATTGGAGAAAAAGAAGAAACAAAGAGAAGAAATATATCCCAGAATGCTCACAATCACAATGATACAATAAAAAAAACAAATGAATCACTATCAAGCTCCTTATGACAAGATGAAGTCACCTATAAAATACTTATGGATGATAATGGGGCAACTCAGTTTTCATGGGACTTTCAAATATGCACTTTAATTTTTACTTGATGATCCCAGACATTCATTGCTAATTTACATTCCAAATAAAATATACCCAAATTCAGTAAAAATAAAACCATCATCCATACTGTAACCCAGTTTAGACATACAATTGTGATCCACACTCAGAAAAACAATCATATGGAATATGTACATGTAATGCAACATCTAAAGTTCAAAGATTAAGATTACTAGTAACAAATTACCTGTTACAACTGCAGCTGCTTGTTTCTGTTGAACAAGTGGAATGAAAGAAGTCATGCTGGACACAATATTGTTACGCTTCGGCTCCTGCTCTGATAAACTTGAACCACCTTTTCTCAAACTTGTTTTTCCAGATAATTTTGGTTTACTGAACCTGCTATGAAGTGATCCAGTGGTCCTCTTAATATCGTTTGTTCCTCGTGACATGCTCAGGTTCTCCTTATTGTTATTCTTCTCTTGCTGCGGTTTTGGATTCCAAGCCTCTGTTTGAAGCTTTTATGAGTGCCTGTTAAGCTGAATTCAGTGTTGACGGAATCTAGACTAAGTCTATCTGCATATGGCTCAGCTTTAGAAACTGATGCAGGAGGGTTTGGAATCTCAGTAATGTCAGCAAGTGGTACTCTTGTATTGACCTATCTAATGCATTTGAAACACTTTCATCTTGGAAAGTATCAGCTGCCTCATCTGCATTCTCATTTTCTTCACTAATGCAGGGAAGCTCCAGATTTAAGCTTCCTCGGTTCCTTGAACTGCTAGTCCTTGAACCAGTTATATCCCAGAGTTTCCCAACTGGAGACAGATAAGGTTTCTTAGTATCCCAACCAGATTGACCACTATGATTTAAGAGGCAATCAGAATAGGACCTTCCATAAAACGCCTGGCCAACTTCCTCACTCGAGTAACTATGACTATCCTTTAATTGTCTGACAGCATCATTCATGGTCCTCATATCCACACCCTCTAGAAGCCCAGTTGGAACGGATTGGTAGAGATTTGGAATTTTGTGCAACTTATTTGAAGCTGAAGAGCACGCTACTGGAGTTTGCATGCAAGCAGATTGGCACAGGTGCTCCAGAATGCTGGCATGTTCAATTGCAGTGCTTGGAAGGTTCCCCTCGTCAAAGCTAATTCCCTTTCCAGCAATGCTTGTTGGTTCATCATCTGTCTGCATAACGAACCCCTCAAGCTCAGGCGTTCTATCATCCGAACCAATCAAATCCAAGGATTGGCCATGTGGAGATCCAAAATTGCTGGTCCCTCCGAGATCAAATCTCATTTCCTGCATTGCTCTTCCAGCGCAAGTCAAATGTTCAGCATTTCCTGTTGTAAGATTATCCTCACGAGTTAGTGAAACAGTAGTCTCTTCCATGCATTGACTTCCTGTTTCCTCCATCATACCAGTCTGCTTCATCAAACTTAGGATTGAAGCTTCAAATTCTTTATCCGTGAAAACGAAAGGTGCATTACCACTTGTATCCCCGCATCCCAAGGTGATTCTACCCTGTCAGACACAATCTTATGCATTAGAAAAGATCAAATAAAAGTAGACAAGCAACCTGTCTGATATAAGAGAACAAAACTAACCTGCATTATTTCTGAAATCACAACATTATAACCCACACTACTTTTGAAAGTGAACTAAAATAATCCACACTATTTCTTGAAACTACAGCATAATGACCCGTATTATTTTTTAAAGTAAAATAACTCACACTATTTATGAAAAATAACAAAATAAACACTATTTCTGGAACTAATACAAAATAACTCACACTAATTCTGGATTTGGTTCAAAAATAATGCACACTATTGCTGAAACTATCGCAAAATTATATACTATTTATGAAACTGAATAAAAACACACACTAATTCTCATGGTTCTAAAGGATGCTAGGCGCTTATCGGGTAACAAACTGGGCCTAGGGAAAGCCAAAACAGGAGCCTAGGCGGGTGTAAGTAAATTTATTTATCTTTAATACTTTGATGAATTTGATAAAATGAGATGAAATTTTAAATAATCACAACTCCGTAGTACTTTACAAAATAATTTTCAATAATCATATGAATTTGTCGTAAATTTAAAAAAATAATAAAAGTGACTGTTTTGATTAAAAACGTAAATTGAATAACAAGGTGACTTGTATAAAGAATTGATTTGCTACAACAGAGCGACAAATGAATCTTGATTGTGCTATAACTCATACGCCATTGGATGATTGGAGCTTATTATTTCCTTTTTCCTCTTCGTGAGTCGTGATTATGCTTCCATGAAAATGTAATGTACCACTTGCTAACAATGCCCGAACCTAACTTAGCTTAATAATAGACCGGATAAGGAAGAATGGAAGGCCAAGACCCCACATGTATGGAACATATACATCGTGATTGGTGAGTATGATGTCATACCAACTATTTTATTTCCTTTATCAAAAAACTTCACATTTACTACTGCTTTCACGTGAGAAATTTTAGGTTCAATTCTCGTTAAAGACAAATTTGAATCCAATTATTTTGTTAGTCTATTGTCAATTTTTTTTCTTTCTACTTTCTCATTTCTTTTTTATGATCAAGCAATGTCACTCAATGATCAAAACCGTATGTTATCTAGGCCACTCTTTAAAGAGCAACTTTGCAACAAAAGAACCAAACAAGATATCCTCAAACCATTGTAGAATAATATTGTCATAATTTCAGTGTTCAAAAGAATTATTGAATAATCTCGTTACATGAGCAAAAACTTTTGAATGCATTTAGCTTTTTGTAGAGATGGTTTTTAAATAACGACCTAAAAGATAAACAGTTCAAATCATCGTGCAACATTGCAGGATGAGAATGAAAATAATAAGATTTCCGAATTGATTTGTATAAAAAAATAACAAGACGACTTGTATGGGATATTGCTACTATGTAATTTTAATTTCATGCGCTATTTTTGTTTCGTAGTCGAACTATAAGATTAATTTGATTTTATTCATGTTGCTTGATTATTAGATGCATTCCTATTTAAAACATGAATAATAAGTAACATTGATGATAATAGCCTGTTTTTGTATTTATTTAAGAGTCAAATCATATAATACTACAATCAGGGACGTCCTGATACGAGAATTCATGGAAACTTTTAAAAATTTTATTTTCATATGATATTTAGACTTTAATGAGGTAGTGGCATACTTGTAAATAAAGGAAAATTTATTTCCAACGGAATTGGGCTGACAGAATGAAGTTTCTGTCAGGGGCATGGCTGGAAAAAAAAAATATTGCATTTTGGGCTTTTACTTCAGCCCATGTCTTTTACTGTTTGTAGAGTCTAATATAAGTTAGTGTCTTTATGATTAAATATGAAGTCTTTTTTGGTTAAATAATAGGTTAGTCCAAATTCTTTTCATTAAAGCTTTCTTAATTTTATTAGGAGGTTGCATGGATTTTGATATGATATGTTCGCTTAATGCGAGAGATATTTTTAAATCATAGGCGCTAAGCGCCCCTAAAATATGTTGCATTATTTGTTTATCATTGTTAACAATTCGTAGGATTAAGGCTTTTAATCAGACGTGCTACGCGTGACTTACAAATTTATAATGACATGCTTGGGCACTGTTTACAATTTTTATTTTGTTTTTGATATTTTCATTTACTAAGATACTCTTGCTACTTACAAAATTGAAATATGAATCAAACAAAATGACTAATACCAAACAATTTAGTATGTGCCAAGAGATCAACAAATATAAGTGAACATATGAAGTATGGATTCCAATGTGTGCATAAATTATCAAGATTGAAGACCATAAAATTTTCCAACATTAGTGTCACATTTCCACCTATTGGTTCGCACTTCATATTTCAAATTTCCGTTGTTCGTAGATTTAATTGTGGTGTTTTTTTGTTTTTTCCTGGGCAACCAAACAGAGAATTGGAAGTTACAATTCAAGGAACGAACCCATTGATTGTTCTCGATGTTGAATTCGTAGAAGGTGACGTAGGTGGCGGTAATCAGAACATTTTTTATGAAGAGATCGTAACTCTGCAGCACATTGAGATTGACCATTTTGGTGAAGGTAAAGATTCCGTTTTTGTATGGAAATACAACTGTTTCAAATACACTTTTATTTCTTTAAGCATGTTCTAGTTTCAAATACACTTTTATTTCTTTAAGCATATTACTATGACAACTGTGACAACTGTTTCAAATACACTTTTTCAAATACACTTTTATTTCTTTAAGCATATTACTATGACAACTGTGACAACTGTTTCAAATACACTTTTTCAAATACACTTTTATTTCTTTAAGCATGTTCTAGTTTCTTTCCCCCACTTTCTCTCCTTGCCACGTTTTACCATCATGTCCTTACTTTTTTAATTTTTTATAACCTTATAAAAGGGGCAATTTTGAGATATTGAATGTTTCTTTGTGGTGTGGCAATTCATCCTTTTATATTGTTTTACACGTAGATGTTTTGGAATTAGAGTAGAATAATGATAAGAGGATGGTGGAGGATGGTGACAATTCGATGCCAAGAGGGTGGTGACAAGAGAATGGTGGGGCCCATGTGATAATATCATATGGAAAAATGGTGAAATCCAAATATATTGCATGATTTTTCTACTATTTTTCCAACCTCCACCAATTTCTACTTTATGTTTGCCGTGTGTGGTCCACTGCATTGTTGACCAAGAAAAATATCAAGTCGTCTCACCACTCACCAGTCATGAAGTAATCTCACAAGACGATGCCATGTGACAAGAGGATGGTGGGGGCCTTGTGATCATATCATATGGAAAAATGTCGAGATCCAAAAATATTGCGTGATTCTTTTTAAAGGAAATTAATGAAAATTATTTAAAAATTTTAAATTTTAAAGATAAAGATAAAATAAAAGGTAAAATGAATATTATCAAGATTAATATTTTAATATAAAAATATGATTTTTCGTTAAAATAAACAGTATTAAAAACTTTTCGTTAAAATTTCTTTCTTTTTACTGTGTTTTTCCAAACTCTGCGAACTACTTTATTTTGCCATGTGTGGTCCGCTGCATTATTGACCAAAAAATCATCAAGTCGTCTCCCCAGTCTTGAAGTAATCTCAATAGCCTTTGCCAAGAACAATTTTCAGTTTCCCAACTTCAAATA